AGCCCTGCGATACATCATAGTAAATTATTAAGTAAAGCTAGTGAAGCGATTTTATCTGGCGTGTAAGCTGATGAGCACAGTCAACGCATCGCGAGATTGAGGGATGGGGACAGGAACATTGATGCACCAAATGTAAGGATTACTGTAGAACGTTTAACTGTAGTAGGCACCACACTTGTAAACAGTATCTAATATAACTACTATAATCCGCCACAGATTTTAAGTCTGTGGCGGGTCTAATGTGACAGAAACAAATAATTCGCTGATCACCAAATCTCAAAAGAAGTACATTAATTATACAATAACAAAGAAGTAAATACAAATCCATTCACGTCGCGAAGCAATCTACAATGCAAACCATTCGAAAATACATCAGATATAAAATAATCCTCACAAGAAAATAAACTATAAATAAATTATTCACATAGCGTCTGCCGTAATATAATCAGCTGTTTATTAACCCTCGGATGCGAGCAACAAGTGTCCCGATCTTCGCTTGCATCCATCTCAAATCTAAAATTCCTGAACGGGAGTGCGTGAACGGTTAATTTAAAGTGCCCTGTGAGCGAATGCGACTGCGATCTGTATCGGGGAGCGAGTTTCAGTTTATCAGTTTCTAGCGGGAACGTCCGGCCGATTTGTGGGACCGTCCCAGGAATAGGCTGCAGCGGGCTGGAGGTTGATGGGAGAAAAAATCAAAAACTATTAAAGAAGTCAAGGATAGACGCTCTATACAATTGAAACACGCAGGAGTAGTCTAATGTTATAATTATATTACATTCTATGTTAATCTACATACGTTTACAAAGCTAATCGCGGTCAGGTACTTGAAATAAAGCACATATTTAATATTCGAGCTGAATGAGTTTCTCTTGATGAGTTAAAAAGACATCACAAGATAATCAAAGTAAAATAAACTTACAAGTGAATTAGTAAAGGTACTAAAATATGATAAAATAACACCCAAAAACACACCTAATCTAGGTAGCTATCATCATTAGATACTAAGATTCCACGCTACATCTCATAACATACAACTACTCGTTATAAATAAAATTAAAATTGCAAAATTCTCAGCAATTTCACATATGGGCTGAGTCCAAGATCATCTCGAGACGTCTTTCCTCGCGTTATCTGCTCAATTTGACGTTACCCCAAGGCATTCAATGTTCTATATCAACATAATTTATGTTGATATTACCAGTGATTAATGTAGTAATTTGCGATTTATTATATACAGAAGATTATATGTTAGGCTTGTAATTATTCGTTTAAACAAAACGTGGTAAAAACTTGCATTTTTTGTGAGCAATCTAAATGCCAGAGTTCGGATTAAAGAATCAGAGCTTCTCTATTCGATTTTTTGTTGAAATCTTCTGGTGCCTTGGGATTATAATCTGTCCTGTAAAAGGATGGAATAAAACTATAAATGCTTACGATACATTTTTTATTTCTTTTGTAGGAAGATGGGTTCATTATTATTCATCATCCTCGTCGTTATCCCCTATCAATTTACTCAAGTTGAAGGAGTCTGGATCCATATGAACATACAACGAAGCATACACCATAATTGCGAATGTTACGTAATGCACTACCATAGGATAGTCCATTACCACGTAATGAATGCATTGCACACCCCAGCGTAATTATTTCTCATGTTATTGAAATTTTGTCAGTGAAGATATCAGCCATCATATCGCGTTGACAGCCCTGACAGCCATTAGTGATCTATGGCCACTAACTAGCAAAAAGGTCTGATATTGCTGCTAAAACAAGTTCCCAGTCATATTAATTACACATTTCCTTCTAGAACTGGTTGTGTACTTGTGTTTACAGTAGTCAAGTGCTCGTACAAAGTTGATTCCTAATTATCCAGGAGCAGAAACTCATTGCAGCATTATCATGAGCGACCGCGACGCACGTGCGACTGATTGACTCGATGTGAATGGCGGAACGACTTCCAAGTATTTTGAAGTTGCAAAAACAGTCGCGATATTGAAGCCATACAACCTTCAAGTGTGAATCAATTTGATTCCATCGGTTTTATTGATCGATCGACAATTTCACTGAATTATTCAATGGACACAAATACCGACATTCCGCGATCGCTCGTGGCAGACCAAACAAAAACACACGTCGCGAGGCTCCCGAATATAATCGGCGGTGGACGTCGTGGGAGTGGTTCGGCGCTGAACATATTTCGAAGCCAGAGACGCCTGAAAAAAGTTAGCGTTTGGTGATGAGAATGTCATGTCCGCCGTTCCCAACGACATATTTGCGAGTCGGGCCCGCGTTTTGTGATAATTACAGCGCATAACGCGGGCGGTGCGCGTGGAATGCGCAGCTCTGAGCTCACCGCCACGGATTTATAATGACGAGCGAGTGTCGCGACCGCGCTGCCCTATCGACAGCGCAGCGCGCAGCAGAAAAACCGTGGCTTCCACGGCATCCGCGCGGGGCGGACCAGTTCCCATGCGCACTGGCAGCCTCCCCGCGCGCCGCACCAGAGCGACGCACCTTTTTTATCCCCTGCTAAACGACTAGCGAAATATCTGGAAATTGACATTCCTCTCATAATTCCAGAGGACGCATCCTTGGTCCGTCGAAATTTAATCAAGAATGCCTATGAAAATCGAGCGTTGACAGGGAGTGACGGGGCGTAATTACGTTCGAATTCTGCATCGAATGGGTGTGCACTCTCGCTTTTTTGTCGCACGTCAATTATATAAATTGTTGGTGCAATAAATTTCGCTGTATCTCTGGGGACGGGTGGCGGGACGGGAATGCGGCGACGATACGGCTCGTCCCGTCGTCCCGCACTGGGCCCAATTAGCATGGGATCGATAGGCGCGGCTGATGCCGATCTCCTGTCAACTGCACCGCATTGCGCAAGCACCGCGGTTATCTAATCTGAACTTAATGAATGCCACAATACTATCGCCAAACTGAAACCTAGCGGCGAAATCAGGTGAACGTGTGTCGTTGTTAGCCCCAGAAATGCGCATAAGTGCAGTAATCATTTACGATCCGTACAGTTTCTTACCTTGGTTTCAGTGATCTATAGGACATTAACAGCAAGCCTTATTCATCTTTGAACATATACGTATTCCACTCACTCCTCGCAAGTTTAAGTTCACTCTCTACAAAAGCTGTATTTTAATATTTCTAGGAATCAAATGAATAAATAAACTTTCCCCTCCTTCCTATCACAAGAATTGCAATGCAGGCACAAAGCGAGACTCATTCCTGACAAATCTTCAACAGAGCCCACTCCATAATTAAGTATTCATAGTAAATCATCTCATCAAACTGATTGCGAAATGACAATAATGTGCAGTATAATGGGCTATAGAAACTGGTGCTTTGTCCGCTAATGGCTAATAGCCTTTAGCCTGTATTGCCGATGCCGTTTGCAATTATCATGGCCTGCGTACCGTGAAGCGGCAACAATCGGAACTAGATTATTAACATACTGTTGTGATTGATGCAATTATAAATAAGACAGAAGTTAGATTAGTTATATTAGATTAATTCCATGTTGAAGTTATAAAGATTATGATAAAGTTAAAATTAAATAGACTATTATATCAATTTTGAAAGTCAAATAAAATATTTATAGATAAAAGTTTGTACCTATCTGTCGGTTGGTCTCTTTTTGATTGTATTTGTATAGAGAAGAGAAAAAAAGCAAGTTTCCCCATGTATACTCATCAGTTGCATATAAATGTTCTTGTAATTTGACTTGATAATGGTTTTTTCCTTTTTATCGAATATAAGCGGAAGAAGCAACAACACATTCCTATTCTATATATTACATTGAGTACAAAATTGAATTTTTCACATGAGATACATCGAAACATTATCTTCTATATAACAATAGAGACAGCAATAAAGACCAAAACAACACTTGAACAGTGAGAGCATTCAGAATTCTATTCATTGAATTTCATAAAGACGACATCCATTACAAAGTCTATCAAGTAACTCAATAATGTTATTGCTAGCACCTAAACAGAAACGTTCTGTTGATGCTCCAAGAATATGCAATTGGATGTCTGGGGAAGATATTTCCATATTATTCATGCAGTGTGAATATTCATCCAACATAGGTTGACCTGCCATTAATTGTTACAGCTCAGACTGTTAGCATGAGACACACTGGTGATGAAATTGACAAGCTAGGTGATATGGAAGTTTTATGAAATACAAGTTATGGTTGCAGTGATTCTACTTAAATCAAGTGAACTGATGTTTATGAAGTGGTCGTTAGAAATACGTGTCAACTAGTTAAAGTACTGGACGAAGATTGATTTTGTTTATAGAAAAAACTAGTAACATCACAATGATGAAGACCCGCAACACCAAAAGAGTTATAGTAGCGTTACGGGCCTTTTTGTGACTATACGCGAATTACTTTATATATCATTGCTTGCTGTGTTACTTACAATTTCAGTTCTTTTATTGTGTTACCATAACTGACTTTTCCTATGAGCAAGTTGGTAAGATCCCCTGAACAGTCCTTCATTATATCCCAACCATGTTTTATGGATTGGACCTTCAATTTGTGAAGCTCATCGTATTTTATTGCAAGACCTGTGTGAATATTGATTTTTGGGTCAACAGCTTCACTTTGTATCATTTGTTCGCTTTTATGATGCTGGGTTTTATTTCTATGTTCTTCGACCGCAACTAATATGGTTGGTGATAAAATTGTCGGCAAATGACAAAATGACTATTGTTTTGCTATGTGCGTGCCATATTATTATGCATTGTTTATGTTGATAAAGCTAGTCGTTTGTTTGCATTACTGAGTTATAGGTACTGATTGTCTTTTCTTTTATAGCTATAAGTACTATAAATTAATTACTGGCATACAAGTCACAGGCTGAAGTTAATTTTCATCATCACCATCATCAGCCTGTAATTTTATTAAGTTATGTTATAGTGGATGTCTTTCATATTTTTTACACATTCAATAACACATTTTTATTTTTCTACAGACACAAGGGAGACGGGATTCGTGAATGCGATCACGGCCGCTGGCGTCACGTACTCGATTACCAGAGCGTGCACAGCAGGATCTCTGCTAGAATGCTCTTGTGAAAAGGTAAATCACTTTTCAATTTCGACCGAATTAATACAATTTCCATATACTCCATATTTAATAATAAGATATACACCGTAGATTTCATCAATCACTTTCCTAGAAGTAGGTATATATCTACTGCTGCAATTAATTGACAGCTAACAAACAAAAGTCTTTACGGGGCATGTAATAGGTATAACATATTTCTAATATATTCCCTTTTTTCTCAGGGAGCACCAAAACCACGCCGTGGACGCGAATCAGTAACGCTCCCCCCATCCCAAGTGCCAACAGAGAGGTGGCAATGGGGGGGATGCAGCGACAATGTACGCTTCGGGCTCAAGAAGTCTAGAGAATTTATGGATAGTCGCTACAGAAAACGAAGTGATATCAAAACACTCATCAAACTGCATAACCATAATGCTGGGAGGTTGGTTAGTAATCATTTTATTTTGGAAGTCAAATAGATCACCATCGATTGACTAACGACTTCCGCTGTACTCACGCGTCACTGCTTGCCTTCGTCAACCCGTATGAATATTCTCCCGCTCATCGCAGACACAAAACGCGTTGCTCTAGCATAGGTACAGCGGTAGTAGCTAAACTGAACATTGACTTTACTTTTTGACAAGTAGAAAAGATTGCAATAGGTTACTATTAATTTTAATAACTTTATAACATTTTGTTATTAGGCTGTCAAGAACAATATGAAAATGGAATGTAAGTGTCACGGCCTGTCCGGCTCGTGCACACTAAGGACATGCTGGTGGAGGATGCCGACTTTCAGAGAAGTAGGGGACAGGCTGCGAGATCGATTCGAAGGTGCTGCTAAGGTAAAACAAATGAAAATAATAAAATATTGAAAACAATTAGAAAAGATGTTACAAAGCTTTTGTACTATGTCGATGACTAATTTGACGTTTTTACAGGTGATTGCCAGCAATGATGGGGACAGTTTTATGCCAGAGAGCCCAAGTATCAAGAAACCGGGCAAGAAAGACATCATCTACTCGGAAGAGTCGCCGGATTTCTGCTCAGCTAACCTAAAAACTGGTTCATTAGGCACCTTAGGACGTCAGTGTAATGTCAGCTCGGCTGGAACCGATAGTTGTGATCAATTATGCTGCAGGAGAGGTTACAAAGAAACCTCTGTCAGAGACACTGAAAATTGCAATTGCCAATTTAAATGGTGTTGCGAAGTAATATGTGAAACATGCTACGTTAAACGAAATATACAAACATGCTTATAATGTGATAGAAGATACAATAAATGTTTAATATGAAAATCTGAATATTTGTTATTTGTTTTATTATCTTTCATTCTAAATGTCTTCTAAATCTTGACTTCTATAGTCAGATCCCCACATAACACCCTTCATGTTGTCAGTTATATTCTTCCTTGGTGGTTTTTTTTTCTTCTTATTCTTCTTAACATCCAGAGATGTCAAAGGCTTAATTGCACTATCAAGAGATCCACTAGCTTCCTCGTAATCTTCGTTAGGTTCATCAGGTGCGGCAATCCCAAGATATTTATTATGTTTCTTCCTAGGTTTAGGCTCATTCAGTCCATCTACTTTTACAAAGTACTTGGGGTGTTTTTTAAAAAGTTTATTGCAATCTGGGATTTTTCTCGAATTTTTCTTGACAATATAATTGTATAGCATTCTGATCTTTTCTAAATCACTTTTAGTAATTTTAGATTGTCCTCCTATATTATCATCATCCCTGTCCTGCCAGAAAATACGATCACTTTAATTTTATTAGAGACAATTCAAATTGTAAATGTACGTTAAAATATTACCCGAACTACAATAGTTGCACGTCCGTTCATTGAATACCTATGAGTATCAAAATGAGAAGCACTTCTGTAGTCGTAGTCGACGTCGTCGAACAACCACTCATTATTATTCAATTTTTTGAATAAGTATCTTTTCTCTGGAAAGAAATCAATAAAAAATAATGACAAATAGTCAGTGATTGGGAAAAATATCGCTAAGGTTTATTAAAGTACTAGTTACTCTGATCAAGTGTTTCGGTTGTAGGCGTGATATTATCACTTCTAGCTTTTTTTTCTGGATTGGCTAAGGTTTAACACTTGGTCCAATGTAGTCGATAATGTCGATGGCGATGAGAAATGTGATTTTAAGTACAGCAAACACGGTGCTTGCGGATTACCGTGGCTTCAGCTCAAAGTCAGAGTAGGACCGGGGTGGTTTTTAGTCAGTATGAGTCAGACACTCCCTCTCACCTGCCCCAGGGCGGGAAAATTAATTTGATGATTTTCCTCTTTAAAAAAGTACATCAAACATATTGGATACGTTGATTGGTGGTGGAAGTAAATAAGGTATCTAAAAAATGCGTGTCAGGTTGCTCCGCTTTTACCAATTAAGATATAATTACTTTCCTGCTTGCTTATAAATTAATGTATTACCGGGAAGGATATTTTCTTCAATAACTTTGATGTATTCATCTCGATCCGGTGCAGTATGCTGGGCTGGGATTCCAACTAGTGACAAAATAGCCTCTGAAAGATCTGCTCTCAAACAATCGTAGCCCACATGCACTAACTAAACATAAAACAAAAAAATACTTAAAGTTTGAACAATGCATTAACCGTCAACTTTGGTTCCATAACTTCCATATAAATTGTTTGTTGATTCCTAAAGTCTTAGGCAAACTGTTCTAATATTTAATCCTCCTTACGTGGAACTCTCTGTTACGTTTAAAATCAATGCTGACCTCAATATCTACATGAAGTTTGGTTCAATGAAATATATCCATCCAAAGATTTTAGATTACTATTAGTTACTAATATCGGATTTTGATTAGAAGTACAAAAACATATGGCCGTTTGACTATATGATGGCACAAAAACAAATGATAATTTTTATTTTACAAACCTGTACACCCGTAGTAGTGAAATTCTGGATGGAATGATCACTGCAGCCCATCTGACCTCGTCGGTTAGAAAAAAACACCCAGCGTGTGTCACCGCCCTCTGGAGGTACAGGTAGCTCTTGAAAACTGAGCGCCGTCTTGCTATTAAGCCAGGTTAGTAATGTACGGATCTGATCTCGAAGAATCTTGTCTGCCAAGAAAAGTTAATAAAACTGGCAACTATGAATTTGGACAACAGTATGAGTAGAATACTTAAATCCAATTAATCTAGCAGTATTTTATGGGATGCCACTTTTGCTTTTCTTAATAAACTTTTATTTGCGAGGTCTGTGACGCTTGATCATAAAATCACCAACTTTTGTCATAAGTTCTACATCGCGCAAGTAAAGTTTGCAGGCAAACAAACATGGATACAAATTTCCGACTATTAGGCAGTGGCCAACCAGGCATGATCACATAGTACTGGGCACAGCACTATGTACTTTTTTATCAAAAAGTATATACCTATACGAAAAAACAAACCTTAATTGCGTGGCTCAATCCCTAGACACAATTATTGTACGAAACGCAAATATAAGTTTGTCGACTGTTAGGTTACCCGCAGTGGACTTGACGCTGTAACTGTCGAGCCGATGGTTGAAATTAGCTTGAATCGATATTATAAATTTAAAAATATGTGACTTTATATACTAGTCACATCAAAATGGCTGAAGGGACCGGGATGAAATTTGAAATAGAGGTAGATGTAGATTATAGTCTGGAGTGACACATAGGCTACTTTTTACCCCTGGGAACGCGGGCGAAGTCGCTGGCAGATGCTAGTAGTACGCAAGAGTAAAAATTCTGTATAATTTAACACCTAGATATATGGATGTTCTTAAAAACTTTAATATTGGTGTCATAGGTTTCAATACACATAAGTCGCTTAGAACTTTTGATTAAATACCAATCCGTTTCAGAACTCAAGCTGTAAATAATTGATATTTAAAATTTCAATTAAAATAGTGTTGTTCCTTACCACTAAACGAAACAACGTCGATGTAATAAGGAATGAGTCCATCCGGCCATAATTTGAACTTGACGATTTCTTCTTGTGTCAGGTCAAAACCTGGTTCGTCATTTATTGAATACCGAATTGGGTCATCCCAAGCCACGTGTATTCGTCTAGTCAAGTCTGACTTTAAAATTGGTTTTTGAAATTCAGCACCTCTAGATTTTCTGACGGCATGGTAATATTGTTGCTGTTTGTCGATGGAAGCCAAGGTTTGGATGCCTTCAAGAATTTAGTAAGTATTCATCACAAAACATCGATAAACAAATTGTTCTATGGGGCATATCTTAAATCAATACTTTTTAAATTTATCTATACGTTTATGTTGAGATTTTTTTAAAACCGGGAAGCGGTATCCTTTTCTTTAAACTTCCTGCTCGATTGTCTCATTTATGAGTTAAACTTTACAATAATTTCAATCAATAATCTCTAGAAATGAATTTACATGTCAACTTACCCGTTGGGCGTATTAAAAATATTATAAAAAGAAGTGAAACTGAACATTTGAGTAACGATTCCAATATCATTCTTAAGCACATAAAAAAAAGATTGTATGCGAAAATTGAGTTAACTATGAAAATCAAATAAACTCTACGATAAGCATTATTTCTTGATTTTATGATCAATTCTATAAATTGACATTTTATGTTTATTACTCGACTCTATGAAAATTTTTTATTTTGGTTGAAAAATCATTGCTTCAATAAAAAACCCGAGCCTTAAATAATATTTATATATCGATAAATTGCAAGAAGCTCCCTGACGTGTTATATGTGTTGTTCCCTGATTAAAAAAATAACACAATTTATTTAACTTATTTCATTCTTTTTAAGCATATTTTAATCGCCATACGCATAAAGGAAAAATAATGTTGTTTTTATATATTTTTTGGACTTGTTATTTATTTATCGTTAAAATTTTTCGGTGTTTTTAATTATAGATGAAACTATTTTGAATTATAATAAAACGTAATATGAAATCTTAATGATAATAAACTAAAATTTCTGTAGGTGACATAGTCATTAGGTATTCTGATCGTAGGTTATTTGGCATTAGAGCTTTCAATTTAGATTTTTAAGCACCTTTCTGTATAATACAGAAAGAATATTAGTCACCGGCCACTTTATTAAAATATAGACTTGTAATACATGCAAACATTAATTCTGGTTTAAGTCTACGCCTTGATACAGTTTCCATGTCGCGAAATATCACTTAATAAATACGAGATTCTTAGGTGTACCTAAACTATCCTACAAGCTTTTGCATAATATTAATTGACTTACTTGACTTGACTTAATATCCTGTGTCCCCTAGATGGGGCAGAGGGCGTCCACTGAAGTTCTCCATCGCGATCTGATTAACGAAGATTATCGGTTAACGAAGTTCCACGTTTCGCACCCATAGAGCAGAATGGATTTTACATTGGACCCGAAGACTTTCAGTTTTATCCTTCGGGTCAGTTTCCGTGACTGCCACATAGGTCTCAGCTGCGCGAAACTAGCTCGGGCTTTGGCGATCCTTGAAGTGATGTCCTCTTCAGTACCTCCCTCCAGTCTCCGACACGACGCCCCCGAGGTAAGAAAATTTGTGGACACGTTCCACTGCCTCTGTGCCAATCAGCAACGGTGTAGTATTCTTCACACCCGTTCTAATTTCTTTGGTCTTTCGGGTGTTAATTCTCAGGCCAGCTTTTGCCGCCTCCTACCGCAGGTCGTCTAATTTTGCTTGCATGTCGGCGTGGGTATGACTGAGCAGGCATAGGTCATTGGCGTAATCCAAATCTTCCAAGAAGTTGGACAGTCCCCACTCTATGCCGCGGCGCCGATGGTCAGTGGTGCGAAGCATGATCCCATCCAAAACGACCAAGAAGAGAAGTGGTGATAAGAGGCAGCCTTGTCGGACACCCGCGTGTACCACTATGTCATCGGAGATAAGACCGTCATGTGTCACTTTACAGGAATACGTCCTATACATACTCTCCAACAGCCGGACGATCTTTGGGGGAACCCCCATGTCCAGCAGACGGGACCAGATGCTAGACCACTTCAACGTATCAAAGGCCTTTTCAAAGTCGACAAAGGGAAGATAAATCTCCCTTTGTCATTCTGTTGCCTGCTCTAGAATGATACGAAGAGTGTTGATCTGGTTCACCCAGCGTCCAGACTTTTTCAAAAAGAGGCGTCAGGACGTCGACAGCGGAGGATAAGTCGGCTCGAAGCATTTCCGCGGTTATCAAGTCGAGTCCTGGTGTTTTCCTTATTTCAAGGAGCTATGCTTGCTATGATGGCTTGAGCAACCTCACTAGCTGATGGAGTGTCCGTGTTGATGTCGAGTAGCCGAGGTGGTGCTGGATTAACAGCTAGTGCACCAGGTGTCGCTGTGGCCGACATGCGAAAGACCTCCTCAAAGTGTTGACCCCAGCGAAGCAGCTGCCCTTATATAATATTTATAATATTAGTAAGGATTAATTGGGTAGTGTTAATTGCAGCATCTAAGTATTTTTGGTCATGCACACTGAATGCGTATGCAAAATCTAAGCTCAATAACGTAATAGAAAAGATTTCTGTGCCGCAATTTTCAATATTTCGTTACAAGATTTCACTTTACGAATACCCCGGACCAACTCAGACTCCGGACTCAACCAGAGTAGTACCACGGTCTCACAGAGAACCATTGCATTTTGTTTCGTCGTGCGAGTGAAGTTATCGGAGGAGTTTTATGGGTGGGTGCTAATACTAATCATCCATCCCCAATCTCCATATTTCCAATCATGAAATCGATTTAAACGTGCTGCTAATGTAAAATTAATAAGAAATAAGAGTATAAAGAGAAATGTCACAAAGCCATTAACTCGTTGAGTACCGTCATTATAGACACAATTAAAGAACAATAGGTCGCGGTCACCGGTGACCGCTTGGTGTTTGACAGTTTAATTAATAATTTGACAGGTAAGTATGATGATGGTAATGACGGGAATAGTTTGATACCAGAAAGTCCAAGTATTAAGAAACCTGGCAAGAAATAAATTGTCTACTCGGAAGAGTCGCCGGATTTCTGCTCAGCTAACTTAAAAACTGGTTTATTATGCACTTTAAGACATCAGTGTAATATCAGCTTGGCTGGAACAGATAAAAGAAGTAAATTAAATTAATTTAAATTTACCCCACAGTCGAATCATTGCAACGGTTTTGTGGGGCTTAAATTATAACATACTTCACCACCAACAGCCCGTTTTCGTCCACTGCTGGACATAAGCCTCTCCAATGGCACGCCATTGAGCTCGGTCTTAAGCTCTACGCATCCAACCACTACCAGCCACATTACGTATATCGTCACTCCACCTAGCTGGAGGGCGCCCTACACTACGTTTACCTAGATACGGTCTCCACTCCAGAACACGTCTACCCCAGCGGTCATCGGTTCTTTGACAAATGTGACCGCCCACTGCCATTTCAGCTTGCTAATCTTTTGGGCTACATCAGTAACTTTAGTTTTCTGTTGGATCACCTCGTTACGGATCGTATCCTTCAGATATACTTCGAGCATAGCCCTCTCCATAGCTCGCTGCGCCACCTTAAATTGGTGGACCAGTCCCACTGTTAGTGTTCACGTCTCGGCTCCGTATGTAATTACTGGTAGGACGCACTCATTGAAGACTTTCGTCTTCAGGCTTTTCGGTAGAGTTGACGAAAAGACCCGATAGTTTCCTATATGCCGCCCAGCCATGCTGTATCCTTCTACGAGCTTCCCTTTTGAATTTATTTCTACCAAACTGTAGGGTTTGTCGACATACTCTAGAACAACCTCGAGAGTAGACCCATTCAGGGTGATCAGAACATGTTCATTTAACATCACTTTTGTTTTGTCTAGGTTCATCCGGAGTCCATTATGAGCAGAAGAATCAGCCAGGCTGTTCAGCATATATTGTAGGTCTTGCACGGTTTCAGCCACGATGACGATGTGCAAATCTCAAGTGTCAGAGATACTTGTCATTTATATTTATGACCCGTCCCTTCCAGTGCAGCGTCTTGAACATATCCTCCAAAGCATTGGTAAATAATTTGGAAGCAATAACATCGCTTTGTCTTACCCCCCGATACAGACATAACATACTTACCTGTGTGATTTTACATGCTACGTTAAACAAAATATACAAACATGCATAATATAATGAACTTATTATAAGCATGTATGTATATTTCGTTATTCGTCGTCTTTCTCGTCTTGATAGACGATACAATAAATGTTTAATATGAAAATTTTAATATTTGTTACTTATTTTATTATCATTCAATCTAATTTTCATCACTCGTAATAAAATCAGATCCAAAAGCAAACTTCGCAGGCCCGTCAGGTTTCTTCTTCCTACGTTTCTGTTTTTTTGATTTTGATTCATTTTTGAGCTTAGTGTAGTCCGATCCATTATCATCACCACTATTTTCTTCGTGATGTTCGTCAGATTTATCAGGTGCGGCAATCCCAAGATATTTATTACTTTTCTTCCTAGGTTCAGGCTCGTTTAATCCATCTAACTGTTTAAAGTACTTAGGGTGCTTTTTAAAAAGTTTATTGCAATCTGGGATTTTTCTCGAAATTTTCTTGACAATATAGTTGTAGAGCATTCTGATCTTTTCTAAATCACTTTTAGTCATTTTAGATTGTCCTCCTATATTATCATCATCCCTGTCCTGCCAGAAAATACGATCACTTTAATTTTATTTTATTCATCTTTAGAGACAATTCAAACTGTAGATGTACGTTAAAATATTACCCGAACTACAATAGTTGCACGTCCGTTCATTGAATACCTATGAGTATCAAAATGAGAAGCACTTCTGTAGTCGTAGTCGACGTCGTCGAACAACCACTCATTATTATTCAATTTTTTGAATAAGTATCTTTTCTCTGGAAAGAAATCAATAAAAAGTAATGACAAAAGTAAGCGTGATATTTTCACTTCTAGTTTCTCTTTTCTGGATTGGCTAAGGTTTAACACTTGGACCAATGTAGTCGATACTGTCAATGACGGTAAGCAATGTGATTCTAAATACAACAAACACGGTGCTATCAAGCTTGCGGATGACTGTGGCTCCAGCTCAAAGCCGGAGTAGGATCGGGGTGATTTTTAGTCAGCATAAGTCTGACACTCCCTCTCACCTGACCCAAGGCGGATAAATTCATTAGATGATTTTCCTCTTTAAAAAATTACATCAAACTGATCATATACGTTGATTGGTGGTGGAAGTAAATAAGGTATCTAAAAATGCGTGTCAGGTTGCTCCGCTTTTACCAATTAAGATATAATTACTTTCCTGCTTGCTTATAAATTAATGTATTACCGGGAAGGATATTTTCTTCAATAACTTTGATGTATTCATCTCGATCCGGTGCAGTATGCTGGGCTGGGATTCCAACTAGTGACAGTATAGCTTCTGACAGATCTGCTCTCAAACAATCGTAGCCCACATGCACTAACTAAACATAAAATAAAAAAAATACTTAAAGTTTGAACAATGCATTAACCGTCAACTTCGGTTCC